ATTAAAATAAATTACACAATTACATTAATCATATAATAAAAATCTAGATTGTTTTGTGTATGTTGGATTTCGAATTTTTCGAAATGAGTAAAAATTACTAAAACTGTTAAAAGTCCCACATAAACTTTTAAGATCAAGGTTTTAATTTTTTTTCTATACTAAAATATAATGATTATAAGACCATATGAAGAAATGATTTTAGTTTATATATATTTAATATCATTTTAATTAAACTATACATCGTATGAAAAGACATACTTATATTTTGATATTTGCCTTGAACATATATTGAAAAGTTAATATTTTAATTTTGAAATATGTCATTGTTTTTTTTAAAATGATTATAAATTACTGAAACTATTAAACATCTCACATTAAAAAAAATTCGTTGGTGTAAAGTTTTGTTACACAAATATGCAAATAATCATAAAATCATATGAGTAGAAACCTCATTTAATTAATATCCATATTAAAAGTGTGTTATATTACTATGTTTATATCATTTAAATTTAATTATATATCATATACAATATATAAGATTGATTATTTTGATTTATTTANGTTTTGTTACACAAATATGCAAATAATCATAAAATCATATGAGTAGAAACCTCATTTAATTAATATCCATATTAAAAGTGTGTTATATTACTATGTTTATATCATTTAAATTTAATTATATATCATATACAATATATAAGATTGATTATTTTGATTTATTTACCCTAATTGTGAATAAACAAGAGTAATAGTTAAATTTCTATGCATACGCCAATTTATTACATAATAATAACTGATTTCTTAGTTATTTAATATATTTTATTATTTTATTATTTATAATATGCAGAAAAATATAAAATAAATAAGAAATATAAAATACTTATTATGCATAAAGTGCAGATCTTAACCTAAGTATGTATCTCTTTAATTATTTTAAATCTTAAGTATTTTCTAAAACAAACGAAATGAGAATAAAATTCAAAATAAATATTTATATCGAGTAATAACCAAAATATAAAAAAAAAACATAGCAAGAGAAAAATGGAAGATAAATAGGACTAACACGTGAACGTAAACTTCTCAGAACCGTAATTAATTTTTAAATTGTTAAATCATGATATAAAACTGAGTTAATTTTTAATTTGTTAATTTATAATTTTAAATTTTTTAAATCATTATGGTTATGTTAAATCAGACCATAATTAATTTTAAATTACTTATTTGTATTTGAAAAACTTAAAATATTCTTTTTAAAAGTAATTTAAAAATTAACATAATTTTTTATAAATTATTTTAAAAAATAATAATTTGTAAAAAATATAATTTTCTAATATTATTAGACAGATAAATAAATTATATTAAATTAGTTTTGAAACTTTATATATTTTAAATGCAAATATTTTACCAATTGCTTCTTAAAAAACATTAGGGAACTTGTTAATACTCTACTAATCAAGCCCAGTAACACTCCATTTATTTTCTATCACTTGAACACTGAAATGTGAAAAGATATATGAAAACAGATCCATTAAATTCTAAGATTTGATATACATTTCTAATTAAAATTGTTTCTGATCCTACGTATAGATAATTATATAAAATTTTCAAAATTCTTAAATTTCAAAATTCTTAAATTTCAAATACATACAAAAACAATCATATGTAAATTTTAAATTCGTCAATGCTAAAATTTTATATTTTAATTACATATATTCACCCTGCGCAAGGCGCATGTCTTATCCTAGTTAATAATTAATTAATGTAAAAATTACCCAGATTAACTCTTATTTATCTTTTTTTTTTGAAACACTTTTTTTTTGAAACACAACTCTTATTTATCTATCATGTAACTAGATTAACTTCCTTTAATTTATGCATGTTAGAATCTCTTTATATATTAAAAGACAAACATTTGAAAAATTGCAACTTTAATTAAAAAAAAACATATGCTTAGGTGTCACTCAATTAGGTAGTCATTTACATTCAATTGAAAAATAAGTAGATCCATATTCGATTTTTATATGTCACTAGATACATTCGTTGGTCAAACTATATGATATGATGATATGATATGATTTTTACTATAGAAGTATTTATGATTGTTCTACTAGATATAATTACTATTTTATTTTCTTTCATTAAATAAAACCTACGGAATTAACATAACTCACTAATATATATATATATATATATATATGACAGTTAATGATTATAATAATAAATATTTGATAACAATTTATATCTCCTCCATTATTTTTTCTTTAATTTTATATTATTAAAATAAATTAAACAATCAAATTAGCTATAAAATTAAACTTTATATTTTTTTCATATATGTTATTTTTAAAATTTAAAAAACGAGAATAAATGACTAAAACTATTAAAATTATTATCTTAAAAATTAATGATCAATAGTTTAAAATTTTTATTATAAAAATATACACATGATTTTACAACCATATGAGTAAAAAGTATCATTCAATAAAAAAAATATATATATATAGATTAAACTACGGGGGTTTTGCAAAACCAACCCAAAAATTCAAGTCAAACACAAAACCAACATTTTTTTGTCATTACTATTCACTCTTAAAAAACCTAAACTCTCCTCATGTTTCTACCTATTTACCAAATTGCCATTATTATTAAATCTGATATTATTTTCGAAAATTATTAAAAACCTATTACACCCTAAACATTTCTTCTTATTTACCATAATGCCATTGTCATCAATATTTGCAACCACCAAAAACCACCATTGATGAGCTCTTTAAGCTTGTGTTTATGAATTTTCAACCACTTATTTCACTTTCTAAACAAACAATACTTCATTTCCTCTCATTTCCTCTCTATTTTCATCTAAACAATCCTCATAACTCTCATTTTCATAAACACAAACTTCATAGTTTTGATTTNACCATTGATGAGCTCTTTAAGCTTGTGTTTATGAATTTTCAACCACTTATTTCACTTTCTAAACAAACAATACTTCATTTCCTCTCATTTCCTCTCTATTTTCATCTAAACAATCCTCATAACTCTCATTTTCATAAACACAAACTTCATAGTTTTGATTTTATCCACAAGTGAATCGTAAAGGTTGCTTCTTTTGCTCGTATTTGGATTCTGGACGGTGGAAAAGCTTGGAAACAAGCTTTAAACCGGTGTCAAGGTAACTATTTACATGCTTTTCGTCATATCTCTGATCTGTATCGCGAAAGTAGACTGTATTATATGTCTACACATACGTGTAGACTTACGATGCAGTCTACTTCTCAACGCACATGTTACTTTTGCATTTGACCAAAATAATTTTTTTTGTAATGTAGACCTACAAGTACGTCAACGTCTTTACCTTTGAAACCAAAAACAAAAAAATTGGTAGACTTACTAAAAAATCTACATAAAACAGGTTAGATTTGCATTTGACCAAAATTTTGACTTACCATAGTAGACTTTCGTGGAGGTCTACACTTTGTAGACTGCTAGGTAAGTCTACGGAAGGTCAGTTTTGCATTTGACCAAAACTTTGACTTCGTTGAATAGGTTTCTTTTGTATTTGACTAAAATATTTAGAAGCTGACTAAAACTTACTTTACGTGTAGACTTCATATGCAGTCTACAAAACTTAGAAAAAAAAGTAGTCTGCATAAGAAGTCTACTATTTTATGTTGGTCAATTGCAAAACTAACATGTCGGGTTATAATGTAGACTTTTACTGCAGTCTACAGTTGCGTAGACATTTAGTTTTGTCTACTCGTAGAAAGTCAACTTTGGTCAATTGCAAAACTAACCTCTTTCAAATAAATTTAAAAATGTAGACTGCATAATAGGTCTGCTTCTAAAAGTCAAACTCTGAACGAATTCTGGTCAATTGCAAAACTAACCTTTTTAAAAATGTAGACTAAAAAGTAAGTCTACTCGTATAAAATCACATCTTTTTTTAAATATAGAAAGTAACCCGTGAATTTGGCAATTGCAGAAACCAACCTAAACGTAGACCTAATTTTCAGTCTACAGACTATAAACTGAATAAAACGTCTACACTTCTGTAGACTGAATATGTAGTCTACCATGTAAAATCTATCAAAAGTGGATTTGTGTATTATTCATTAAGTTTTTTCAAAACTTTTTTTTATGAAAGTGTGTGTTAGTTAATCATAAATGTCTTGAATGATTTTCAGAAGATAATCTGTTATAATTAGGAAGTTATCAAATTTTTTGTTTGTCTATGTTGTTAGCTTAAANGTCTTGAATGATTTTCAGAAGATAATCTGTTATAATTAGGAAGTTATCAAATTTTTTGTTTGTCTATGTTGTTAGCTTAAAATTTGTAGACGTACTTGTAAGTCTATGATATAATTTTATCAAACATGAAATTTTGGTTTGCTAATTATGTAAACCGTATTGTTTTGCAGGAAATGGTTCAACTACCTGTTGTATACGGGAATGGGTGGTGAAAGACTCTTTGTGGGAGTTTGAGGTCGATAATCGGAAAGGAGGGAGAATGTTCCTTGTCTGTGATGGTTGTACACATGGTGAACTTCTTGAAATGGCACAAGAAGATTATGATCTGAACAAGAAAAGCGAGATGGTGGAGCTGAAGTATACCCTACCAGATGTGATCTTAAAGGAAATGGCTCTAGATACGCCCCATGTGCATGTAACGAATGATAGACAAATGCGGAACTTGATCGAGTTATCTAAGACTCATATGGTACGCCTCTGTGTATCAAGCCAATGCCAAGTAAAGCTGATGATGTGCCTGATGGTGATGATAATATCTTTGCTGATGAAGATACTGATGAATGGTTGGATGAAGATAGTAATGTTGGTGATGATGAAGGGTTGGATGAAGATAGTAATGCTGATAATGATGTTCAAGCAACTGCTGATCTTGGTGTTGATTTTGATGATTGTGTAAACTACAGTGATTATGGGAAAGTGAAAGGTGAAGATTCTGACGAGGATGCAAATGAAACGTTTTGACTGTTGAGGCTATGATGCTTGACTCCAAAGCCTCTGATCTTGACAAAGAAGAACGTCCTGAGGTTTGTTTATCTTATTGTTATTGGAAATGTAACTCTTGAATTGTGGGATTGTGATTGGTTCTAAGCTGTGTTTTTATTTATCACATTTTTTTTTTTTTTAAAAAGTCGTCGTCTTGCATTTCTTTGATGTTCCTATTTGAGATTCTAATGAATTCTGGATTGTGATTGGTTCTAAGAGGTGGATTCTCTTGACTTTTAATGAATTGAGCTTACAGTTCCTGATCACCTTTTTAAGGTCGTTGGCTTTTCCAACTGATATATATGATTTTTTTTTCAGACGGTTTAGTAGTCTTTATAAACAGAACTAACTTCAGGAACATGTGACTTACTGTTCTTGATACGCCTTTTTAATTGTTTCGGAGAGGTAGATTCTCTTGATTATAGTGAATGGAGCTTAGAAACATGTGACGTAGTGTTCTTGATCATCTTTTTAAAACGTATTGGCCTTTTGAATTGCAATTAGGCATCTTTTTTGTTTTATAGTTAAACAGTTAGTCCTTGACTGATGTGTTTCTTTGCTATAAGGTACTCTCTTTAATCCCACCATATGAAGGGAAAACGGTGCTGGAACTTGGAGCTGGCATTGGTCGTTTCACTGGTGAATTGGCTCAAAAGGCTGGTGAAGTTATTGCCCTTGACTTCATTGAAAGTGCCATTAAGAAGGTTTATTTTCTTACTCCTTTGGTTTGCTAGCTCTTGTTATGTTATAAAGTAACGTTTTGTATTAAGTTTCTTTGGTGATGTTGTTCTTGTAGAATGAAAGTGACAATGGGCATTACAAGAACGTCAAGTTTATGTGTGCTGATGTGACATCTCCAGACCTGAAAATCGAAGATGGATCTGTCGACTTGATTTTCTCAAACTGGTTGCTCATGTATCTGTCTGATAAAGAGGTAATATCCGTTTCTCATTATGTGATTCTATTCTTACTGTAAAAAAGAGAAGAAAGTCTAAATCTTGTACATGGGATGCAGGTGGAACTTTTGGCAGAAAGAATGCTTGGATGGATAAAGCCAGGAGGATACATTTTCTTCAGAGAATCTTGCTTCCATCAATCTGGAGATAGCAAGCGTAAATCAAACCCCACTCACTACCGTGAACCAAGATTCTATACCAAGGTTCATTCTTTTTTTCCTTTTACTTGACTTTAACTTTAGGAAAGGGACATACATCTTATACATTATGCTATATATCTAAGTTCGATAAGGCGTTAAGAGAGTGTGTACATATCATCAGTTTATAGGCTTGTTGTCACTTGGCTCCATTCTCTCGAACTTAATGTGTTGTAGGAGTTGAGCTCTTTATTTTAGAGTGAGCCAAATTTTAAAACGTTTGGTGTAATACAGGTTTTCCAGGAATGCCAGGCACGTGATGCTTCTGGCAAATCATTTGAGCTCTCTATGGTTGGTTGCAAATGCATTGGGGCGTATGTGAAGAACAAGAAGAATCAAAATCAGGTAACAACGTATTTTCTGTATCAGTTTATCTACTTTTCTTATCATTTGATGGTACCTTAAAAAAAAAAGTTCATCCATGTGATGTCAGATATGCTGGATTTGGCAAAAAGTAAGCGTGGAGAATGACAAGGACTTCCAGCGTTTCTTGGACAATGTTCAATACAAGTCCAATGGGATCTTGCGCTACGAGCGTGTCTTTGGGCAAGGATATGTGAGCACTGGTGGTTTTGGTAAAACTCCATTTCTTAAAGCGTGTATGCATGTGTAGTTGTCTCCCTGGCTCTTGTCTCTAAGTTGTTGTTTTAACTTAACAGAGACAACTAAAGAGTTTGTGGCGAAGATGGAGCTCAAACCAGGACAGAAAGTCCTAGATGTTGGTTGTGGTATCGGTGGAGGTGACTTCTACATGGCTGAGACTTTCGATGTTCATGTTGTTGGTATCGATCTATCAGTCAACATGATCTCTTTCGCCTTGGAGCGTGCTATTGGACTCAAATGCTCAGTCGAGTTTGAAGTCGCTGATTGCACCACAAAGACATATCCTGATAACTCTTTTGACGTCATTTACAGCCGACACTATTCTCCACATCCAAGTAAGCAATCACTCTTGAAAATGTATATCCCTTTTGGTAGTAATCAGCATTTGTCTCTTCTTCTTTCAGGACAAGCCGGCTCTGTTCAAGAGGTTCTTCAAGTGGCTTAAACCAGGTGGGAGAGTTCTCATCACCGACTATTGCAAGAGTGCTGAAACTCCGTCTCCTGTATTCGCTGAGTACATTAAACAAAGAGGATATGATCTCCATGATGTTCAAGCTTATGGACAGGTTTGTGTGCATAAAAGTAAAGCCTTCATCATTTTTTATGTTCTTGCGGGTATTGTGAGTAATGAAACCTTCTTCTCGTAGATGCTGAAAGAGGCAGGCTTTGAAGATGTGATCGCAGAGGACCGTACTGATCAGGTGACTACCACACATACACATATGTATAAATGTACATTTCTTTGTATATTCTAGCTATGTGTCGATCAGTGAGAGTTCCATTGTGGCGTCTGTGAGGATCAAAACAAGGTTGAAGTGCCTTCATTGCTCAGTCATGTACAGAGATTGTTGTTGCACCCAAAGTTGAACTCTTGTGCGTTGAGATTGTGGTCATACACAAAATTCGACCCTTGTGCCCCATGTAAACCTGTACTGAGATTGTTGGTATACGGAGTCAACCCTTGGTCAAATCTTGAAGAAACAGAGTTGGGAAGCTGAGTAAACGTAGCCGTTTCGTGGTTAAACACAAAGACTGAGAATTTGCTCTGTTGATTCAACGAACATGCGGTTGAGGAAGAAGAAGAAGGAGGGCTCAGGAGGTATTGTTGATCGGTACTTGCAGACACATGATGATCACCACTCATGAGAAGATTCATTACCGATCTTGTCTCTTGTTGTTGTTGATCAAGATCATTGGCGAGGGTGAAGCCAGAAGACGCCGGAAAGTTGTGATCTTTTTCAGAGATAACATCAAGAGAAGGGCTCGGCTGTGGTCTGATGATATTGATCATCCTGGGAATAAGAAAGATCACGAAACCTGTCTTGTAATATATGAAACTGATCGACCAAAGAACCCTCGAACTCTCCAACTTTCTTTGTGAACTTGTTGTGTTCCTCTGCGTTAGTAAGAGATCTTTTCTTCTCGTCAACGAGTTTCTTGTTACAGAACTGAGAAAGATTCGTGTTTTTCTTGAGTTTTTCTCTGTCGCCTAAACTGTTATAACTCCCGAGAATGTCTTCAACTTTGCTCTGTTCTTCAGGGTAAGTTTCGACGAGATTTCCTTCACGATCGTAATGGATGACACAGATTTCGTTATCGCAGAGGATTGAGAGCTCTAAAGCCTTCTTGAGAATGGTCTTTTGTCTTGTGATCAAATTGGTGTTCTTGAAACGAGTTTTGTTTCTGACAGAGAGCTTGTCGTTGTTGTTGTTCATCTTTGTCGAAGAGCAAGAAAGAGAATCCATGGCCAAAACAAAATCTTTCTGAGAATTTTAACGAGAGAAGAAGAGAATTGTGAGTGATTAGTAGCGTGTGACCACCAAGGTTGTTTAGTACTGTCTGTATTTATAGATTTTATCGTACCGTTTATAATTTCCATTTTTTTGTTACACGGTAATTCCCATTTTTTTCACTATTTCATATAGCCGTTGTAGTTATTTTATAAAGTTACCTGATCTTTCAGCCGTTAATCGAGACAGATAGATTTGATTTGGTATATATATTGATTTGATTTGGTATATATATTGCCGTTAATCGACTGATAGATTTGATTTGGTATTCCTACTCAGTTTGCTCACTGTAGCCCATATTATTTATAATTAATTAATTGCAGATTTCCTTTATTCACTTTCTTTGGTCACTTTGAGATAAATTGTTCCACATGTTACAAACTTACAATCATCGAGATTCGTTACTGACAGTGTTTTTTTTTTCTTTTTCTTTTCCTTACTGATAAATTGATAAATAAATATGGTAATAAACTGATAAATAAATGTTAAAATTATTAGAGTTAATATGGTAATCTTTATATATAAAGTAGAGTTTCCTCAAGCATGAGGACTCCACGTCACTAAATAGGGACACTATAAATTGACACGTCAGATGCAGCAGTTTAACAAACATATCGTCTATTTGGTTTTGGGCTTCTTACTAATTTACAAGTAACCATTGCCAGACTATTTATTGTTGGCCCAAAAAAAACTTCAACATCTATATATATAAATGAGAATAACTTCTTCCAGTGTATATATAAACCGATTGAAAGCACAATCGAAAGCATTTTCTTCCACCAAATTCGTAACTCCAGATTCGTTTGAGAACACAATTGAAAGGTTAATCTTTTGCAGCTCACAACCCACCAATCACACAAAATCCAAACATAACCTTAAGAAAGCATGAGGGAGACAAGACAACCATGAGATTTATCGACGCAGAACAAGTCGTCGCTGGGAGCGGCGGAGAGATTGCCACCGGAGAAAGCGTCTTTAGTGATTTTCTCAAACAAGTCTTCAGTGTCCTTGGTCCTTTAATTGGCTGGCGATAATTTGTTTTCTATTCCTTGAGCTCGTAGCTCTCTTCCTCATCTCTCTCTCTCTAGCGATCACTTTGAGCGGCGCTTAGGTTGATTTGGCATAGACAGAGAAGAAAGGAGATGGTTGGAGAAGAGGACACTAGGGGTAGGGTTTAGAAAGGACATAATGGGTTTTTAGTAGCTCTAATCGCTCTGATGGGCTTTAATTAAAAATGATATAGGATTTATACAAAACCGTATATTGATATTTGTTTGTGTGTACCAAAACTGTTGTTTGTTTCCTCTTAATATGGATTATATATTATAACGTGTGCGTTCCCATATTTGTGGGATTCTGAAACATACATTTTGTGAAATGCTTAATTATAATGGTAGTTTATAAGTCTATAATACACATGCATGTCACGCATATTTGTAAGCGTATGTTCGTTTTGTGAACATCAGAGTTAATTTCTGATGTATAAATATGATGATGTAAATGATGGAGCAGTGTTTATTTGGTGAAAGACTCATTTTATTATTTTGTCACATTTTTTTACAAAAAAAAAAGGAGTGGGGTAGATGAAATTGCTGAACCATGACAACAACATATATGTTCAAACGTTGGTTGCTCTAACTTCAGATATTATTTTGTCCTTTTGGTCTCATCTATCCCACGTATGGCCCATCCAATTTGTTACTTGACAAATTATTGGAGTATGAGAACAACAATAAGATGTCATCAGTATAAACCTAGAACTTTGGTATGACACATGTTCTTATTACATGTAAATGAACAAATTTGTTTTTTTTTTTAACATATATAATTTGAGGACAGCCTCTATTTTCATGGTCTCGGTTTTGTTTTTCAGATTTCATAATATAAGAAATTCAACTACGTTTTCTCTGTAATTAAACTACATCTTCTCTTTTCAATTTTGTTTTTGGTAATCCAGATATTCGGACACTCCAGAGAGAATTTGACTAGCGCTTAAGTATACCTACATAAAAAATTCTGGAGGGTCACTTTTTCACCCCATTTTAATCGACAGTGGCCAGTAGGATTCGAGCCTGGGCATACAAAGATAATACTGAATTTATATGCGGTTTGGTTCATCTTAATTTTTAGATTATTAATGATTACACTACATTTTAGTTATATTGGTTAAATTATGGTTGAGTTCATTATAACTTATCGAAAGTAAATTATTTGATATGATGTAGTATGAAACTCAAGTAAAATTCAGTTAAAATGTAATATTTTATTAATCTATAACATTATTGATCTGTAGAAAAATATTTTCAAATAGCATGAGCAAAATTTCCAACAAATAATTTTTTTCTAAGAGAAAGTTCAACAAATGCTAAATTGATCTACAAAATATAATTAATGAGATCCTAAAAATTAAATAAAATTCCAGTGTAAATTGAAAATTTAATATAAAGTGAAACAAACATATAATATGAAACACCATTTGTTGTTAAATAAAATATATTAATTATTATCTATGACATTATTGAGATTTTTTATTTAGTACTTTAAAAATATGTTTTTATAATTTTAGTACAGTACATTGTATTTTCAATTTATTTAGCTTGGAGATAGACTGATTATTATCCTGAGAAATTAATTAGTATAAAATTTGAAAACTCTTAGAAAAATGTATCAGTTGTTCGAAAGTGCAGTAAAATCAAAATAAGAAAATATAGATCATTACATTCTTTTTAATTTTGCTTTATTTAATAATTTTATACACTAAAAATCTGTTAGTGGTTCTTTCAACTCAAACCAACAAATTTAAATAAAATGTACAACTAAAATTGTGAATTAAAATAATATATTTTTAAAAATATTTTGTAGATTATAATATATTAAAAGATTAAATAGTTTTATTGTACATAATCCCGCCTACGGGCGGGTAAACCCCTAATAAACTGATAAATAAAGGTTAAAACTATTTTTTTCCATGCAGATTTATGTTACAGAACAATCACGGGATAAAGGTTAAAACTATTTTTTTTCCTCCAGACTTTTTTTCCTCATAAATAAATGTTAAAACTATTTTTTTCCTCCAGATTTTTTTTAAATAAATTGGTAATTAAAATAAAATTAGAGTTAATATGGTAATAAACTGAAAAATAAAGGTTAAATCTATTTTTTTCCCTGCAGTTTTTCTTCCTTTTTCACTTTCTTTGGCCTCCTGGATAGATTCTGATGGTTTATATGATAAAATAAAATTACTTCTATAAAATATTAAATTATTTTTCTTAAAATATCCTATCAAATAATAATCTAAACGAGTAAATTTTAAAATATATATATTATCAGTTATACAAATAAATATGTATTTATAAAAAAAGTAAAAAGAAACACTACGGATATATTTTTCTGATGTTTAATTTTTATATGACATAAAAAAAATTTTAGTAGCCACCAAATAAAATTCAGTGCAGTAATTAACTTTGTAAAATGCATCATAAAAAGATAAAAAAAATAAATAGAAAAATAAAAAAGATCGTGCAGGTCAAAGTCTAGTTCTAATTAAATCTGCTAGAAGTAAGTAAATTTGTGGCCAAAGAAACAAAAATTGTGAAAAATTAATTTAATATGTTAGAATGACGTAAATATATGGCTAGAACTAGGTAGCAACAACAATATTACTAGATTTAATGCAGTATTTTGTTCGTAGTTTAATATTTAATTATATATTTCTATTTATAATTTTATATTTTAGTGTAACATTTTATCAATTAATATTGTTGTAATATTTTTATATATGTATTAGTCATTTATAAAAATTCTATTAATTTGAATTAGTTATAATAAATATAAAGACCATATTATAAAATACAAATAGGTTTGAAGATGAGTTTGAAGTTTTGTTGGAGCATAAGAGCATATACATCAAAGGTTCATCACAAAAGTTCACCCCCTTCCCAACAAAATAAATATTAAAATAATTCCCATGTGATGAACCTGCCCCTTTGGAGCTCTCTCTCGTGAACTTTTCTGTGGGGAGTTCATCACTGTAGCGCGAGCCCCATAATACGTGGCGGTCTGTGATTGGTGGGTTTTTTTTAATCGCAAAGAAAAAGAAAAAGAAAAAAAAATTTAATAGTAAAAAATTTAAAACTTGAATTCCAAGAGGGGTTTCATTGATGTACATGCTCTAACACCTTTAAACTTTAAATATAGAGTTTTGCAAACTCTAAAATATAGTGACTTTTGGAGATGCTTTAAATAGAAGTAAAAAATAAAAAATAAATCCTCAAACAACCTAAAGTATTGTCTAAATCCCAAGGCTCCGTTCACCCCTTACCTATGCAGTTAAACTTTGAAGAGTTACTTCTACTGTGAACTTTAGCACTTGAGTGCATTTCTACTGTTTAAGTAGTTTCTTTTGTTCCTTGATGAAAACAAAATACTACTAATTGACTGACACAGAAAGGGCAAACAAGATTGGGATGCTTGTCTAGGAAACAATGAACAAGAATCCTGATGAACTCTTGTGTAGGAAGCAATGAACAAGAATCCTGTAATGAACTCATGCCTTGGAGTATCTTTTTTTTGTTTTGGGATTGAGATCTGATAAACAGAAAAAGTATGTCGAAGCCTTACAAGAGCAAGTCTAATAATTAAGGAGATGAAAGTCACAGTGTGGGAGTGGAAATAGCAACTCTTCGCTGAAGCCACTTCTAGGGTATCTTTATGGGTGAATGAAGCTCTTACATGGATCCACAAAGAAACCCTTTACACCTTACTGAATACTACGAGAAATATCTAATATAAAAGTGGAACTTGAAAGAAGAATCAATGTTAAAAGGCATACATATTATATATAGAAATAAGAACTTGGTTTCCAGAGATTTACACACACACACAAAAAAAGAGTAATACACAATTGATTAATAAGATGAATTAAT